TTAAATAGGTACAAAATTAGCTTACGTGATTATAATGGTTAATAATTATGTTTAATTACTATAATCTATTCACTACATCTCACAACATAGTCGCAAACCTAGTTGTAACTTACGTTATTATTAAATTTAAGTCATAATTTTGGTTTCATTGCATCCACCGACCGTCGAAATCATAATTAACATATAAATGTATATATTTATGTCTGACCAAGATTTATATATTTGTTGCAGCGGAGGGGGAAGTTCTCCGGAGTATTGGCGATATGGGAGCAGTCATGACCTCCATCACACTCGGACCTGGAGCATTAAATGTAAATGTAACAGAAAACACATAAAAACTATATTAAGGTCAGAACCAATTACTAATATATAACTCCAATAATATTCACTTAGTTTGAAACCACTGTAAGAACAAAAAATATCTGCATTTTTGACCACAATACTCCCTAAAAAACTTGTTTCTTACTGAGATTTACAATTATTTAGTCGATTTATATATAGGAATGTATGTTGTTATTTAGAAAAAATATGTTTTTAAGTGTTGATTATACTATAAAGTATAAATCAAGACTCAGTATTTGCAATCGAAATAACCAAAATGTGTGTTCTATTAGCAGGTGGTGGGCGGAGGGGCCCGTCAGCCTTGGCCCTGGCCCGGAAACATCCACTAGTGATGGAGACCAAGCTGAAGATTATAGAAATACTGCAGGTACGATACTGATAACAGTTCTGGAGATGTTACAACAACCGACACACATACTCAAAGCAAACGCACTCTTAACTATTTATTTATTTTCTTTGAAAAACACTTAACTATGCAATTTACAGTAAACGTTGACGTCCACACTAGGCTAGGCCTGTGTCGTGGAAAGTTATACTTAATTTTATTTATATGGATACTGGTCTAAATGTTTGAATGAAACTAACTTTTTTTATGATAAAATCAAGTGTAGTAAAACGAAAATATTGGTTTATTTAAATGAATATTCACGAAAGTCTTAGATCTCAGTATGATTAAAAGGTTCTTCAAAAATTTTTATTGTACGGCTAAACTAACAATTCTTGGAAAGTATGTACTGTTTTAAAAGTTTAAGAAAAATGTTTCTTCAGCTTGATACTACTATTATACTGACCAAAATAATACATTACTATGTATGAAAGTGACCCAAAATATACAAGAAATATTCTCCACAGTTTATCCTGGACGTTCGTTTGGACTACCGCATCAGCTGCCTGCTGTCGATCTTCAAGAAGGCCTTCGAGACCTCCTCGCCGGACGCTCTCGGTCGAGTGGACGTGGAGGCCATAGGACTACAGGCCGAGGGGATCTTCAGCTGTCGGTATGACACACACACACACATACATACATACCAACACCGACTAGGCGAGATACAAATACAAAGATCATATTATTTTTGTATAAGAAAGTCATTCAACTTAAATTTTAACTCGAACATGTATAAATTTAATCACATACATGTGTGATTTTATTCAGTTCAGTATCATTATATTAAAATGTTTATAAAATTTATCTCGTTTCGTTGGCATTGTTCACACATGGTGTTATATAATTTCATGTAGATGTCGGTTGTACTATTGTAACTAATCGGTGGCGGGTTGATAGTAACATGCGGTCTGTAGATTTTTTTTTTCAACTATTTCTTATTAGTACTACTTTTATAAGTATTTATTACGAACACTTCTTGCTTCTATTAAACAATTACATATTAATCAGTAAATTTCTTTCTATTAGATTCATTTGAAAACATCAAATTTTTACTATTTTTCTTTTTCACACTAGATAAATTACCATTAGCTCTAAATTATCTTTCATCGGTTTATCTATAATTGGGAATTAAAATCGTAGGAAGCACTTTGAGATAAGAAAAACCATTTAATTCTTATTTCGTCATACTGGCGATCGGTATTAATAAATTAACAATTATTTCAGAGCAATTCAGACTGTGCCTGACAACTGTCTTCCAAAAAATGTAGATTTGTTAGTAAGATTGAAATCTATTGCATGATGCATGATGAAAGTACCGCTATTAACCGCATGTATGATGCTATGATTTCTTTGCTTATATGTGGACATCTGATGTTTCTGTATTTCCTTAACTTAATTATTCGAATAAAAAGGTATTGAATAATTTCCATTACAAGATTCTGAAATGGACTTCGTACAATTAAGGAAATGTTAGAATAAAATAGTTTGTATGTTACGCATGTTTTGTCCCAAGAAGCTTTAATATTTTTTTGCGAGAAATAAAATCCTCATTACTAGGACTAACTAGTGTTACCTCTCCAACCGCAGCAAGCGATATTATACTTTACAGCTATTACAATAAAATCGACATCCTATTATCGGAAAGATTTAAGTTATTGTGAAGTGTTTTCTGTATAATTCTAACCTTTGTTTATTTTGATTTAGAAAAAACCCGTTACCCGAAAAGAGATTCTTTTTTAGGCATAACGCTTATAATCCTATTGTGATTTGTGATTTTCTCATATGATATTATATTTTAAATCTTAATATTGATACAATAAGGTTTAAATTTTAGAGACGGTTTAGACCTGGATGCTTGCGGCGGTCGTATGGTGTTGAGAGTTCTGCTGCAGCTGTGTTCCCAGGGTGCTTCGGTCAGTCTCGTTTCAGGAGCCCTAGCGCTGCTATTCCGTCACTTCAGTCAGAGACAAGAAGTTTTGGAGGCTTTTAAGCAGGTCCGCTTTATAAATTAACTAGCTGCGCTCCGCGGTATTACCCGCAGATTTCCGGGATGTAAAGTAGCCTATGTGTTATTCCTGGACGTCAGTTTCCTGTTTACAAAATTTTATCAAAATCGGTTCAGCTGTTTTAGCGTGAAGAAGTAACAAACATACACACACACACTCACAAACTTTCGCAATTATAATATTAGTAGGATTAGTATTATATCAACATACCTTAGCATATTAAATATTTTACAAGATAACTCATAAATGCAAGTAATGAAGTCAACAAAAAGAGATCCTACGTAGTTTCTCATCATATGTGTGAGATTTTAATGTAATCTTTGTAGTCTATAATATATTTATCGTTATATTCCGTTCAGGTCCAACTGTTAGTGTCTGACGCGGACGTGGAGTCCTACAAACAGATCAAGGCCGACCTGGACATACTGAGACAGAGCGTTGAGAAGTCGGAGCTGTGGGTGTTCAATAAGGGACGCGCCGGGATTATAGATGATCACAGCGGTGAGAAATTAATATAGTTATCAAATTAATAAATTAAAAATTTTAACTTTTTCGAATTGTCCTGCATATACCGGCAAAAATTATTCCATATACATATATGATCTGCAGTTCTAAGATATTTTATAAATTTTCTATACCTAAAACATAACATAAAAAACAAACATTCATTCATACCTCATGAAATAGTGGTATCTACATACTTAGGACTGTATAACTTGTAGATAATTATTAGGATCACCTGTAGATGATGAAAGAATATTGTTCAAAAAAATATATAAATATTATTAAACATATATAAATCAATACTTTTCTAGATATAAAAGGCGCCGTTGGTCGTGGCGGGGCGGTGTTGGAGCGAAACGCGTCCTTAGACAACGTGCGAGCACCGAGAGGAGATCGACAGGACTACGATAAGACTAAAGAGGTACAAAATAAATATTGCATTTATATCAATCTTCTACCCGGCAATTTCCCAGCTTTTAGCCAGGGTCTGCCTTACATGTTGTGAATAGTTTTGGCTAATTGTTTTTACGACCGGCCGCCTGCCTGACATCAACTCTATTTTGGGAATGCATTAATCAGTGATGTCTAAATACTCTTAGAAAGTATATATGACTCGGAAAAATCACATTGGTACTTGCCAGGATCGAACCCGCGCCCTCGTGCACGAGAGGCGGGCCTTTTAACCACTAGGCCACTTAAGTCAGTAGTTGACTTAAGTTGCATTTATATTAATGTTTCATCTAAATTGGCGCTTCAATCTCTGATAGTCACTACAAATGATAAGTTGATGTAAAAATTTATTCGTCAACTTTAATAAATACTCAGTAGCACAGTCGACATAGTGACTTGGATACCGTATCGAACAAGTTATAAGTTCAAATTTGATGGATCCCAGTAATTTTATTATAACATAATATCGTTAATTCATAATTGGTAATAAGAACTTCCAGTTGTTTTTGTTGATAATACATAAGATATTAAATAATTTTTTTAAAAATTTTATTTAATTATCACCTAAATTCAACAGCTAGACAATAAGTTTTATTTTTTTGCTTCGCGTGAATGTTGTGTACATCTGTAATTGTCAGTCATATCAGGTCCTAGATTTTTTTTCTATTTTATCTTTGTTTATGTGTGCTGAATATGTGTGATGTTGATGTACCTTTTAAATAAATAAATTTAAACATTGTATAAAACAGATCCTGGAACGTATGATCAAGTACTGTACCCAGGGCAACACGGCGAGGGAGGGGGGCGACTCGAGACCGCGGAGACACGAACAGAGGCCACTGAGGAATATAGGAGTACATAATGTAGTGCTGGACCTGCTGCAGGTGGGTGGAGGAGGAGTTAAAACAATATATCGATACGAGCAGGATTTAAACCCTATATATGTGTATGTATGTATATATATCACAAATGTAAAACAGTATTCTCAAGGGTGGCAGGTTTCATTACTAGTCACGTCGATAATAGTTCTTTCTATTTGGACTTCAATACAAGTCTTAGCTCCTTGCTGTAATAATAAAACCAATAATACTAAATACTAAAATGCTGAAGTGCAGGAAAAGTAAATGTTATTGATTTTTTAAGTTTTTTCTTTATCTTCTCACTTAAAAGCCATTGTTGCTTTTACAAAACTGTTTCCGGAAATATGCTATACCTACACTCATGATATAGGTGTAAATCATTTAAGATCTACGAAAGAATAATTTTCTGCTGTATGTTATAAATACATATATTCTGTAATCAATTATTTCCAGGTGCCACACGATGAGGACGACGCTGCTATGGACGAGGTGCTGGACCTGGCGCACGAGTTCCTCTAGCACTTCTGTCACGGGAACACGCAGAACCAGTCCATACTACACAAACACCTGGATCTGTTCCTCAACGCTGGAGTAAGAATAGACTATTGAATATAAACAATTGTACTGTTATTTTGTTTTAATATCATATTTTATTATAATTATTATTACAATTAGTTGGTATTTTTTACATATATGTCTAAGTTTTCACAGTGTCTCATAAACCAATATTAGTTTTTCCGTACATTGGAATTCATCGTCGTTAACTCACAGTTACTTTGACATCTCAAGACATTTATATTTTATACTTCATGTATTTAACAATAAGAGAAATAAAAGAAATCAAGTCAATAATATAATGATACGTGTATGATAAAATAGAGTAATAAAATTAACTAAAGATATAGAAATAATATAAAGTGCACAATCTAACAAATAAGTAACATATGCAAGGTAAATGTAACCTGATTATTATTATATATATACCATAGCGCTAAATTATTGTTTTACAATTATAGTATAGCCAGCGATCAAAGCATCAAAACGATAGTTTTATTCAGACAACTTCTTACATCAGATCCGCGAAGCCCAGACGGTGTGCTCGATATTCGAAGAGAACGAGAAGGTCGCCGCGCACTTCGTACACTGCATCGAATCCCGCGGACGGAGGCCCGCCTGCCTCAAGTTTCTGAGAACTATAGTACGAGCGGGACCTCACCATATACGGAGGAGCCAGGACCTGGTCATGCAAGAAGTAAGTTCCTCTCCCTTCACCCATCATAGCATGCATGGTTTTAAGAGACGAAACCTCTTAAAATTCCATGATTTCCCGTGGTAGCGAGTCTATCGTTGTAGTGAGAGGAGCTTCAATAGCTCTTAGGACTTGTGACCCAGGTGTAGGTTTAAGAGGTCCCTATCTAAGGCGCCTTAAACGCTCACCTCCATTTTTAAAGCTCCTCTATCAAATATTACCTAACATAAAATTCTATTTTCAGTAATATAGTTATGTTATATCACATGCTTATGTCGTCAATGTATTATGTAAACACGATTTTTTCTCTGTTGTTCAATAATAAATCTATCTTCGTTAATAAATATCTATTCTATCATTTGAGTTCATGAATGGAAACTCGGAAACGCTCAGTATTTAGTTAAACGACGCATACTTGTACTAAGGTACATATAATACATATATTTAATCGTACTTCATGTTTCATTATAGATGCTGAATGCCGGCGAGGACGTGCTGGTGTTCTACAATGATAAAGTACTCTTCAACTACTTCATCAAAATGATGAGGGAGTACAAACAGACGGGAGAGATGCCTGAAGCTCTCACGTAATATATATGCCATTATATGATCATTTCAAAATTTATATTCTTGCTCTGGCATTTAATAAGGATTTAAAATAATTATGCATTAATTACGAAAAGTGTGAAAACAAAATTAACCAACCCAATTTTCATTACTTTAATGGTCGAATTTGTATACATTATTAAGGTACAACAGCGTAAGATATATATGCAAGAAAGGGTTATCGATAGCTTCTTTGACAATCTAATATAAATGTGCACTTAATATTACATATAATTAATAATATTTATGTATATATTTCTTGCAGGTACCACATAGACCTCATAAAGCTGTTAACATGCTGTACCCTCGGGAAGAACGTGTACACGGAGATCAAGTGTCACAGTCTGCTGCTACTAGACGACATAGTGGCCATGATCACACACCCTGACTGTATACCAGAGGCCAATCACACTTATACATATGTAACATACATCCATGTAGCTGAAATCGTGGTAGTAATTAATACTATCGCAACTTAGCCACAAAAATATTAATCAAGACCGAATATTGGATAATTATTTATTGAAATATCAAATTGAATTAATTTTATTATTTAACTCAATTGGCTTGCACAAACTAAGCTTAATATTATAAAATGAATGAGAATGCTAAGAAGTTATTGTAAACAATATGTATATGATATCAATAGGGCCCGGATTAATATTTAAATACATATTTTTAATTTACGCGATTTTTGGTCTAGAATGTGTTTTTACATGGATTGTCATATTTAGACTGAACAACCAACTTTTATTTTCCATATTTTACCATATTCTCAAAGTTAAGTCCATATTTTACAAGAAAATGTCACAATCATCCATATATTCACAAAATACATAAAATTTACGTTCCCGCCACTAATGTTTTGGATAAAAGTAAAGGATTTTAGACGCTAAAAAATTAACAAAATTCTGTGCGAAAGTTCCGAGTTTAATTATGAAAGTATTTAATTTTATACTGCATATTTTTTCCATATTTTTGATTTTTTTCGTCCATATTTTATGTACATATTTTAGATTTTTTAATACATACTTATCCGGGCCCTAGTTATGATACATATGTAATTGTATTATTCTTAAATTATTTCTGTATTTTTATGACAATTATAATTTATTCTTTTGCTATTTCTAAATAAAAAATATTAAATAAACATATCTTTCTTTATTTTTTTTTTTACAGCTCATAATATGGGTTAAGTAAATGAAACAACCAATTAAATATGAGACATAGCGTTTTTATTCAATAATCAATAATATTTTTGTTTATCGATAGAATATTTAGCATTAATAATATATACAAGGAAACAATAGCAACTAAATAGATCTTAAAACTTAATACAGCGATGATTCATTTAAAGTTATGTAATATTATAATCAAGCACACATATATCTTAATCAATTTTAACTATTTAATTTATCCTAGCGTTCTGCTTGGCTCTAACGCCAGCGAATGTTCAAGCTTGTTATTCTAACAATTCTAGGTCTTACGTGCTTCAGTCTCAAACCTTTTTTTATTACATTCCTCATGATACCATTCTTTATACATACATTTATATATATCTGAAAAACGATGTGAGCAAGCGTCGCCGTACATAGTATTTCGACGATCAAATCAACTTAATTTTATCTAAACATAAACGTATATAAAATTATAATGTGTTAGTTTTTAATGAAGTTTCATTTAAAAATATTTATATATTAAATGGTATTAATTTAGATTGATTTTATACTGTCCGTCAGTGATACTGAACGTGAAAACCAATATATAATAATACATTTTGTACCTATCTATCTAATTTTATCAGAAGTTGTGCAAATATCGAAACCAATTTTTATTGACCCATAAAAAGACGAGCCAACATATTTCTTCATAGCGAGAATGTTAGTTTCATTAACCGATCATTATGCTTCTAATATAACAATAACAAAACTGTTAGTATCAGAAACTTGTACTTAATTTAAATCTTAATATTATTTGATATTTCTACAGTGTTAACATCATGTAAGCGGTTATTTTCAAGACCATTTTCAAGTATTGTCTTTTCATTTTTATGGTTTACGTAAATGTCCTGAATCGTCACATTTCAAGTATTGTATAGATTTTTCTTTAACATTTTGTAATAGCAAATAGTGTGCATTTGCTAAGCCTAAGCCGATAATAGTAAAAATGCATTATTACAAAAATTGTACAGAAGTAAGTGTACAGTGTACTAAGTGGTGCTCTAAATGCTTCAAAAGTCTATCTTTAATTTTTATATATTAAAAAAATATTATCTCAAATATTTAAAAACAATAATTATGTTAAATAAAAAAATATATATAACAAATACATGATATACGTCAACATAAAATGAACATTCGCCCAATATTTATAACATTTACAAAAAATATTAAATAACAATTAATTATGTTTCTTGAATAGAATAAACGGCTTTATTTCATTCAACAAACTCTGTGTTTCCTACACCCCGTACTCAAGAATATGACTCATCCAACAAATAAAAACGATGACATTTAGCAAAATATTCCACGATTCCAATGCAAGGGAAGCCATAGCATAACAAAAATGTATAAAATACTTTAATAAATTGGAAAATCGATCTTGCATAAATATTGTAGTCGATAATTATACAGAACCTCAGTGTACTAATTGATGTTAAAATTACTCCAAAAAGCGTTAAATTTTATACATTTTAAAATAATTATCTCAAAGTTTTTAAAAACAAAACTCCTCCTAGTTTTCTTCACACAATACTCAAGATATATAATTCGTCCAACAATAAAATATTCCACGATTCCAGTGCAAAAGACGCCATAGCATAAAAAATATATATAAAATATTTATCTAGATATAAAATAAGTTCAATATAATCATAATAGAGGTCCAATAGTTATACCAAAGTCGGCGTAGTCCAACATTAGGTTCCATCATCATCAGCGGCCTCCAGCAGCTCCAGACAGTGGTTCAGCGACACGAAGGACTCCCTGCCTCACCGCCCATCACCTCGCCACATAAGTATACGCTGCAATGGAAAAGTATACACACAATGGAATTATTATTAGTACTCTTCTAATCACTTCAAAAACATTTACATGAAGATGTAATCAAAGTCATTTCATACACACATTGTAAGCAACTTTTGCATTATTTATATTAATTGGATAAATAACATTTGAACATCATTTCTTAGCACTTAGCAAATCTATCCTGCTATCATTTGTAAAAAATGTGACAGCTATCATGGCATTATATTATATTAAATCTTTCACGAAAATAACTAAGTTATGAGTAAACAAAATATGGTTTTCATATGCCTCTTCAGATAAAAGCTGCTAAAAGATTCGTGATAAAATTTTAGATACGGTCACGTAAACAAAAGCTTTAATTAGGCACAATAATTATTGTAATAAGGATAACTTCCAAAACAACTATTAGGTATGTCATAATTACTTATTTATGCTTGTCTGGACTGAAATAAAACTGATATTTTCAGATTTACGACGCATTTTTTAATATTTTGCCTATATACTCCCGACCTTTCTTTTACTTTGCAGCAACCGAAAATATTAGTTCTAATTCAATGAATACTGCCAAAGTCTTGAACTCATGCTTGTCTGGACCATTCTTGAGACTTTATTGATAAAAACAAAAGAAAATTAATACT